CTGTTCCCTAACTGTTGTAATAATAGGGATGGTCACTTTAGATTATTTGAGATTTTGAGTAATTAGAAAGTTACTCTAAACTCTTCAAACTAAGAGAGTTGGATCTTATTTCGAGGATTAATCATTCCTTATCCAAATAAAAATAACAAAATTTTCTTAAAAATATGGAATTCTTCAAGAATAACTATTAGCACTACTTATAAATTATAATAATATTTTAATGTTAAAATTACAAATGACATAAAATAATAAATTAATAATAGATAGGCATTCAATATTTTTTAGGTTTGATTACTCTAAAAACAAAAATAAGTTAATATACCAATTAACCTAAGTTTAAATAGTAAATGGTTAATTAAGGTTGTGGAATTTTTAATAAAATTCATCAAATTTTTCTTTAATAAGAAATAAAATTATTGTAATTTAAAGAAGAAAAATTACTGATAAATTTTTAATTTGTTTTGAGTTCAATTTTTAGTAATTTTATTTAATTCTATAGATCATTTGTCAATGTTATAGATTAATAATTATAAAAAAATAAGATGAAAAATTAGTGTTTATGAAATATTCTATAACAGTAATGTCCTTTAGAAATTTACCAAAGCACTTAAATCCCTTTAAGTTTATGTGCTTAAGTATTTGCAAATTGTTAAAACCCTATTCTTCATTTCAACTAAATAAATTAGAAACTTTATATATTTGGAAAAATATATTGATATATTAAATAACGTTTCAAAAATTATTATTTTCTCATCAAAATCTTACTAATGCTAAATATTTGATTGAGGCATATAAATTATTGAATTCATTTGTTTAATTTTAATGCTAAAATCAATTAAATTAATGATGAAATAATATCGTAGAACAATTTAAAATCTTTATAAGAATCATTATATAAAGATTAATAGCCTGAAGTATAAAATCTAAATCCTGTATTTTATTTTCATGCTTTTTTTTGTAATGCATACCAGTTTAGAAGAAATATTTGAAGATTTTATCACCAAATAACCATACATATTTTTATTTTATTTATCACTCAATTCATCAAATTGTGATGATATTATTTTCTTTTTAAAATTTGATTTTGAGTAAAAAAATAGTTTAGTTCTAAAAATATCATTTTATACTTGCTTTCTTAAATTTCCTTCTTAAATTCAATATTTTATTCACTAAGAGAGAACATGAAGGCTCCTTAATTGAACTTATGTTTATGATATTTAAAACAAAGATATGATAATTAATTTAATTATCGCTTTTTAATAGAGCTATCTTAATTAATCTTAAAAAATTATGCTAATATAGGCTGCTTTAAAATTAATCATTCATAAATAAAATGCTCAAAGAAATTTCAATAAGAGTTGTTAAAATATATTTATTCAATTATAATTTCAATTTATTAAGTAATATTCTTAAATTGTTAATAGCAAAATATAATTACTAAAATATTATGATAATTGGATATGTTGACTAAAATTACAAAGTTAGTAAAAGTAGAACTGTTTTAGTCTTAGATAGGGAATTTGAAATTATTAGGTTGCAGGTTTAATATATTCGAATAATAAATAGTACTTATTTACTGATGGATTAAGAGATTTTTTTATCGATTATATTTAAAAATGGTGAGCGAAATTATTAGTTTTGATTCTCTTTAAATTGCTATAGATTTATATTTAAAAAAGTCTAATTAATACTTACATAAGTTATCAGAAATTAAATAATACTAAAATATACTTCATTTCTTTCTCTTTTTGAAAAAAATAATCAAAAGGGTTAAAATAAATATATGTATATAAACTTTAATAGGAGCGCAGCTTCTAATAAATTCTAATTCTAGGAGAAAAACTTAGAAATCTCAAATAAATCTAAAGTTTTTATACTTGATTTGTATCATTAACTAATTCTCCTATTAATTAGTTTTAAAATAAATCATAACAAATTGTCTTTATGATTTTATTTAAAAAGTAAATCACATGTACTCTGTAATTAATTTTATTAAAGAAAATATGTAATATAATTAAATCAAATAAATAATGAAGAATTAAATACCTAAATAATTGTGATTAATTTAATCGTTTAAACATTAACTTTTAAATTTCTTTGCTTACTATTTAAGTCTTCTTTTAGCCTTGTCATTAACAAATAATTTCTTCTTGAATAGTAATTCATGAATAAATTGAATTACATATTATTCATTTTCTAATATGGGTCAAAAATTAGTGACTTTTTGTCATTTCTAACTTTTAAATATATCCATTCAAAATTTAATGTATATTTTACCCCCAAATACTTATATATAAAATTATTGCTAACAAAGTATAAAATCTGCACATTTATATAAAAATGGCAATCATCTATTAGTGAATTATTTTAATCATTAGCATTATCACCTAGTTTATTGTATTGATTAAATTAATTCATAAATAAAATTGCCAACTATATTGTGTAATAACTTCAATTAAATCAATATGAATTATTAATATAAAGATTCTATTAGAAACATAGTTAGAAATAGAGAATAAAAATATTCTTTTTATTATTTAATATTTAAATAACATTAAAAATATTTTCAAATCCTAAATATCTTACTATTAAGTTTCTTTTTGATAAAATATATTGAAGTTTGTAATTTACATCATTCTTTATTAATCCTATATATATTAAAAAATAAAAAAATGATTCCTATCAACTAAGATGTCAAATAAGCAAGTCAATATTAATAATAAAATCCGAATTATGAAATTGAATAATTAGAGATCTAAAATTTTGAGAATCAGCAACATCAATAAACATAGTCTCAAGCAAAAGAATCTTCTGAAGTAGTTGAAAAACTAAATTAAATTGAATTCAACAATCTTGAAAATATGATTAACAAAGGTTAACTTTTCATAAATTATTCAAAGGTTAACACCTACAATAAATGGGTCAATATCAAAAGGCAATTGAATTTTATGACAAAGCACTGGTTATTAGACCATAATTTGCAAATTGTTTAAATATCAAAGGTATATTTGAATCAATTATTTAAGGTGTCTGTCTAGAGAAATTGGGTCAATATGAATAAGCAATTGAATGGTATGACAAAGCATTGGCCATTAATCCATAATTTGTAGGATGTTTACATAATAGAGGTAAATTTATATATATTATCTAAAGGTGTTTGTCTATATTATAAGGGTCAATATGAATAGGCAATTGAATGGTTTGAGAAAGCATTGGCCATAAATCCATAATTTGTAAATTCTTTAAATAACAAAGGTATATTAAAATAAATCATTTAAGGTGTCTGTCTAGAGAAATTGGGTCAATATGAAGAGGCAATTGAGTGGTCTGACAAAGCGTTGGCCATCAATCCCTAATGTGTAAATTCTTTAAGTAATAAAGGTATATTTTAATCTATTATTTAAAGGTGCTTGTCTATAGAAATTGGGTAATTATAAATAAGCAATTAAGTTGTATGACGAAGCCTTGGTCATCAATCCTTAATCTGTAAATTATTTAAATAATAAAGGTATATTTGAATCAATTATTTAAGGTGTCTGTCTAGAGAAATTGGGTCAATATGAATTAGCAATTGAATGGTCTGACAAGGCGTTGGCCATCAATCCGTAATCTGTAAATTCTTTAAATAATAAAGGTATATTTGAATCAATTATTTAAGGTGTCTGTCTAGAGAAATTGGGTCAATATGAATAAGCAATTGAGTGGTATGACAAAGCATTGGCCATCGATCCGTAATTTGTAGGATGTTTACATAATAGAGGTAAATTTATATATATTATTTAAAGGTGTTTGTCTATTTTATATGGGCCAATATGAATAGGCAATTGAATGGTTTAAGAAAGCATTAGCCGTCAATCCAAAATATTTAAATTCTTAAATTAGAAAAGGTATATTTAAATCAATTAATTTAAGGTTAATGCTTAGAGAAAATGGGTCAATATTAATAGGCAATTTAATGTTATGACAAAGCATTGTTTATCAATCCATAATCTGTAAATTCTTTAAATAGCAAGTGTATGTTATTTTTAAATATTTTAAGGTGTATGCCTAGAGAAATTGGGTCAATATTAAAAGGCAATTAAATTTTATGACAAAATATTGACAATCAATCCTTAATCTTTCAATTCTCTAAATAGCAAAGGTATACTAAATCAATTATTTAGGTGTTTGCTTAGAGAAAATGGGTTAATATTAATAAGCAATTTAAAGTTATGACAAAGCATTGATCATCAATTCTTAATTTGAAGGTTGTTTGCATAACAAAGGTATATTTAATCAACTATTTAAAGGTGTATGTCTAGAGAAAATGTGTGAATATTAATAGGCCATTTAATAGTATGACAAAGCTTTGGGAATCAATCCTTAATTTTTAATTTCTATAGAAGGTAAAGGTATATTAAAACAATTATTTAAAGGTGTATGCCTATTTAAAATGGGTGAATATGAATAAGCAATTAAATGGTTTGATAAAGCTTTGGACATCAATCCGTAAGCTGTAAGCTCTGTCAAAGGCATAGGTATATTTAAATCAATTATTTAAAGGTTTTTGCCTAGAGAAAATGGGTTAATATTAATAAGCAATTAAATACTTTCACATAGCATTAGCCATCACTCCGCAATACGAATAATAATACAAAGATATAATTTAATAATTGTTTTAATAATTATGACAATGAAAATATTTTTATTTATTTAATCAAATCATAAAATATTATTATAGAATTATTTTTCAATCCTAAAATTACTATTTATATTTTATAACAAACTTAATCTTATAAATTTGGATTTATTTTGAAAAATAACTGTTAAACTTCTAAAAAAGAAATTATAATAGTAAGAGCTTTTTTTT